TATCATGAGGGTAGGGGAATGGTCAGTGAGGGGAAAGTTAGAGAAAGGAAAACTCATCACAAAGTTGGATATATAGCCCCCCAAGAAGGGGATGAATAACAGAAATGTGGGTGAAGAGAGACAACAGACAGTGTAAGACACAACATAATAATAACAATATATAATTGACCAAGGATTCACAAGGGTGAGAGGTTGGGGGAGGGAGTGGAAAAAAGAGGGGTTTATACCAAGGGCTTAAGTAGAAAATGTTTTGGAAAAGATGATGGCAACATATGTACAAATATGCTTGATAAAACTGATGTATGGAATGTTATAAGAACTGTAAGAGACCCCAATAAAATTATTTCAAAAATAAATAAGAAAATTAAAAAGGCATAAAAATAGTTCTCTGAGACAATATGTATTAGTACCTTGTGAATGCTACCTGACAATTCAAATATGGCCAAATATTTAGTACTCATATTAATTCTTGGAGTGTGTCAATGTTGGTTCAATTGATTGTCTAACAGTTTTACTTAAAAACAAAAAAGCCCAAATTGTTATAAATACATGGCAGATTCCCCTTATGCTTTTTCATTATAGAACAACAACCACAAGCAATTCATAAACATGGCAATCTCATCTTAGACCGCAATAATTGTGAAAATATTGATGATTAATAAAATATATATACCATTAGAAGTCAGACCAAAAGTTATAAACCATGACTTACAGGGTATTCTCTCCTTTAATTGGTGTCCCCATACTTTGTCAAAATAGATAACTCCTTTATTCTTTTATCCTAGTAGTGTCTTCTCTCCACTGAGTATTTCCAACATGGGAAAATAATATTTTATATAATGCACCTTAAAATAAAAGTCTTCCATGCACTCTTTACCTCCATATTTCCTTGTCCCTCTACTCCACTTTTCAGAAAGACTTCCTAGAAGAACATCCATAGTAGCACATATCACATCACTTTCAATTTTATGTTCCACCACATGGTGTAGTGATTTACTTGATAAGACTCTTCTAGCTATAGTGATTTCCAGTCAATGACTAGGTGGACCATATAGATTGAGTGTGAGAATATCTGCTTTTCCTGATGGGTCTGGGGAAGAGAAGGTAGGGAAAGATGCTGACAGAACTATATGACTCAGTTATGAGTGATTGTTAACAGATTTAGTTGTGATTGTAACTCTTGTAAGTCTAATTGGTCAATTTCTATCTTGTTGGGTATAGAATGAACAATTTCAGAAGCAAGAGTAGAAGAACTATGAGTGGAGTGTGGTCTTAAGATCCTGAGATACCTCCTAGATTCAAGAGACAGGGGATTTTGACACCAGAAAAGTGGCAGAGCAATGGCAGTAGCAGAACCAAGAGCCAGAGGACAAGACAGAGCAGTGGGCTTCTGGGTCTATGGGATGAGTTAACTTGGACTCATCAGAAGTCTTCAGAGAGAAGACTTTCTTGCAGAGTAAGAGATCTGGGGAATCTAAATTTGCTTACCCATAGAGCTAGAGCTATGTATCTTCAGATTGTGGCTCTTGGCAGAATGGCATGTGCTTTGGTCATTTATTGGCATTGTTAACCATTTTTTTTGGTCACATTGACTGAAGAGACCAAGGCATCATGTGGCTTAGAAGTCAAGAATATGTGAGAGGTCTGCCTGCAGGCATGGCTGGGAATAAGCTCACCTTAAAAAAGAATTGTGCCCTGAGAATTTTTTACCCTGAATTGTAAGCTGTTAACTTTTGTAATAAACCCCGCATTCATGTGTATGGCTTGCAAATTCTGTGTGGCCATTGCAATGAATTATCAATCAGACAGAGAAGTATTATGGCATGGGAGATATGGCTGGTGTCAGAACTGGTAAAGAAGGTTGCTACTCCATAACTGTAATTTTGCTATACTGTTATGAATCATAATGTAAATATCTGATATGCAGGATGTGTTTTCATTGTTACAAATTGAACATAATTAAAGGTAATTAAAGCATAGTGATTAATCATGAAACAATATGTAATTATATATTGTGAAATATGTATGTGTTTTCAAATGGTTTTAGGTAACTCCTGTGAAAGGGTCGTTTGACCCTCAAAGGGGTCACGACTCACAGGTTGAGAACAGCTGTCTTATTAAATGGTGTGACTAAAGTCACCACCCTTGTTTTCCTTGGGGATATCAATCTGCTACAAGACACAAACCACACCTCCATTAAAACCTTCTCTTCTGTGACCTCCACTTCTGGACTGAACTTTGGTAGAAGCAAGAAGACTTGCTTTGACTTTCAGGCATTTGTGGTTTCTGGTGCTGGAGCCTGAATTTGGCTAGTCACTTGCTGACCTCTGATTCTTGGTATTCCTGATTTCACCTCTTCCAGCACTTTGTGGACAAGGCAGGCCCCTCCAGACAGGCATCTGAACTTTGTTTTTG